CCCTGTCATGGTCAGATCACTTCCTGGTGAGGTTTGTGCTCGAAAGCAACCTCTCCCTCTGTAAGGGTGCGGATCCGATTGTGTGGGTCCGCCCCCGGAGCCGGATGGATCCGGATGGATTCCTGAAGGCCCTGGGGGAGTTTCCGGCTGACAAGACTGGTGCTCCTGTCGAGGCTTTGGTCGAACTGTGGAACAGGGAGATGACCAGGGCTGTGGACACAATCGCTCCTAAGCGTCCTCTCCCACCGGGCAGAGCCCGCTCTTCCCCTTGGTATACACCTGAATTGCGGGCGATGAAGCAGATTGGGAGACGGCTAGAGCATAGGTGGAGGAAATCACGGGATGAATCTGACCGAACACACTTGAAAGCCCACTATCAGGCCTATGCTGTGGCGGTGAAGGCGGCGAAAAAGAAGTTATTTTCCACTTCCATTGCCTCCTCACAATGCCGTCCGGCGGAGCTTTTCGAGTGGTGCAAGGCCTGGTTCGCCCAGGTCCCAAGGAAGATCCGGTTCCACCCTCAAAGGCCCGCTGTGACGACTTTGCCAGGTATTTCAGGGAGAAAATCGCTCAGATTCGTCACGAGCTGGACTCCACTAATGAATCAGAGGTTTCTGGGGAGACGCCAATGCTACCATCTGGTCCAGAATTATTGGATGAATTTCAGTTATTGCGGCCCGATGATGTGGACAAGGTGCTTGGACGGGTACGTCCCACCACTTGCCTATTGGACCCTTGCCTGTCTTGGTTATTAAATAATTCCAAGCACGGGATTGGGACCTGGATCTTGGAAGTGGTTAACGCTTCTCTGAGGGAGGGTCGGGTGCCTGCCCCTTTAAAGGAGGCGGTAGTCCGACTGGTCCTGAAGAAAGCGTCACTGGATCCAGAGATGGCCACTAACTATAGACCAGTGGCCAACATCCCGTTTCTGGGCAAGGTGTTAGAGCGGGTGGTGGCGGGACAACTCCAAGCACTCTTGGATGAAACTGATTATCTGGACCCATTTCAGTCCGGCTTCAGACCCGGGTACGGTACTGAATCTGCCTTGGTCGCCCTGTACGATGACATGTGTAGGGCGGACAGAGGGAGTGCGTCCCTGTTGGTTCTTCTGGACCTCTCAGCAGCTTTCGATACCATCAACCATGGTATCCTTCTGGATAGGCTAGCGGGATTGGGAGTCGGAGGCACTGCTTTGCAGTGGTTCCGCTCCTATCTCAACGGCCGATTCCAGAAGGTAGTGCTGGGGGACTATGGCTCTGCGCCATGGCAGCTATGCCATGGAGTACCACAGGGATCCATTTTGTCCCCTTTGCTGTTTAACATCTATATGAAACCGCTGGGAGAGATCATCAGGAGGTGTGGGCTACGGAATCATCAGTACGCTGATGATACCCAGCTCTACCTCTCGTTTTCCACTAATCCAGGTGAGGCAGTGGCTGTGCTGCACCGATGCTTGGCCGAGGTAATGGGTTGGATGAGAGCCAATAAACTGAGGCTCAATCCAGACAAGACGGAGGTCCTGTTGGTTGGCGGATCGGGCTTCGGAGAGGGTGGATTTGACCTGGCCCTGAATGGGGTTGCACTCCCTCTTAGGGACAAGGTCTGCAGCTTAGGAGTACTCCTTGACCCGGAGCTTTCATTGGAAGCTCAGGTGAAAGCGGTGGCGAGGAGCGCTTTCCTTCAGCTTCGGCTGATTAATCAGCTATGCCCCTACCTGGAGTACAACCGCCTGGCGACGGTGACACACGCGCTGGTGACTTCCCGCCTTGACTTCTGTAACGCGCTTTACGTGGGGCTTCCCTTGAAGACGGTCCAGATACTTCATTTGGTTCAAAATAGAGCTGCCAGGTTGCTGACGGGGACGGGGCGTTATGTTCACATGACTTCAGTCCTCCGACAGCTTCACTGGCTTCCCATTGAAGTCTGGGCCCAATTCAAGGTGTTGGTTATGACCTATAAAGCCCTTAACGGCTTGGGACCTGGTTACCTGAAAGAGCGCTTACATCCATATATGCCCGGCCGCCCCTTGAGATCTGCGGGAGAGGCCCTTCTCTGGGAACCCTCCGTGAAAGAAATTAGGAGGGTAGGTACTCGGAGGAGGGCTTTCTCTGCGGTGGCGCCCAATCTATGGAATGTGCTCCCCAGAGAGGTCCGCCTGGCACCGTCGTTATTTGTTTTTCGGCGCCAGGTGAAGACCTTTTTATTTAAACGTCATTTTAATTGTTAACAATATTTACTTATTTATCTGGCCAGAGCGACTTCTTTTCTTTTCTTTTCTAACTTTTCTTTTATAATTTCTTTTATATCGTGTGTGTGTGTGTGTGTGTATAATTTATTTTATATTATTAATTTCAATTTTATATTGTTATTTTTGTATTGTATTGTATTTTATTGTGTTGTAAGCCGCCCCGAGGCTTCGGCAAGGGGCAGCATAGAAATGTTCTAATAATAATAATAATAATAATAATAATAATAATAATAATATTGAGAGCCAGTGTGGTGTAGTGGTTAAGAGCATGGAACTGGGACTCAGATGATCTGGGTTCTAGTCCCCACTCAGCCATGAAGCCAACTGGGTGACCTCGGGCCAATCACAGACTCCCAGCCCAACCTACCTCACAGGGTTGTTGTTGTGGGGATAAGATGGAGGAAGAGAATGATGTAAGCTGCCTTGAGTCCTTTGTAGGATAAAGGCAGGATATAAATCGAAAAATAAATAAATATTTTCTGGTAGAAAATATTTTTTCTGCCGGGGGTGGGGGGAAATATACTACAGGAGCACTTACTTCTGAAAACATGCCAAAAAGCTTTAAAAGATGAGCCAAATTTCCAAGTATCCTTGAGTATTATTTGACATATATTAACTTTTTAAACACCTTAAGTTTTATGTCACCTGGGCCATACCAATGCTCAAAATAATTGAATCTTTTCTTAAGGAGTTAGCTTCTTGTCTTAGTAGATGAAATAGTGAGATAAAGATGGCAAGGGAAGAGCTGGATTTCTCTTTATTCCCAGTCACAGGCTAGTCTGATCTGAAAAAAACAGGGTATCTTCCATTTGATGGAAAAGAGACCTTCATCATATGACTGTCTCCTAAACTATGAGGAGAATAACAGTTGGATACCCAAAGGGTGCAAAACTCTCTAAAGATGGCATGCACTACAGCTGGAGAGGCAGGTGGAAAAGCCCAGTAACAACAAAAATGTAATACAGCAAGATAAGATTGACTGTTCAGACATTTTGTAAAACATTATTAACATTTTTGTGTATATGATATCTTTTATTGTTTCTCTGCAGCGCAACCAGTTAACAAATATTGCATCACAATATTTGAGGGCTAGTTCACAAGTGGACAAAAGATTGGAAGAGCACAGTATACATTAAATCTTGTTTGCAAGTAAGAAAACTTTAGTAGAATGTATTGGTGAATGAATGCCAAAGAATAACTGAAGCGATACATTCACAGTAAACACAGAAAAATGTAATTAGTTATTTATTTTATACCAGCATGAATGAATTACTCAGCACTTTGGAGTTTAAAATATTTGTTTACCTGCATGCTGCATTAGGATTAGCATTCCTTGAAAGAAGCAGTTCTACACTCTTTAACATCTGTTCTTCTGAAGCGCGTGCAGTACATGCAGCCATCAAGACTGTAAATTGATCTGAATGAAAATTACAAAAACAGATAAAAATTATGTAGGATATGACACTGATAATAAGCACACTTCATACTGTACAAAACTTACTTACTACAACTATATATCAAACATACATACTTTATATTAGAAATCATAAAAATGTCTTTCAATTTTCAGACCAAGAACAAGTTTCTCTGAAAATTTAACAGAATTTAAACTTCGTCCTGTGTCAACAAAAATGAGAATTATGTGCATTTGGGATCTCATTTTGGACCCCATTTGAAGGTGCCTCAGGCAGGGAATGCTGCACATACAGAGGATGGTGCTTGAGGAATACTGCTTGGCCCCATGAATTCTCCAGTATAGGATTCCTCCGGGTCAGTCTTTTCCCCCATGCTACATAACATCTACATGAAACTGCTGAGTTGGGGCAATCTGGAATTTCAGAGCATGTGGCATCACATCTACATGAAACCACTGGGAGAGCTAAATAAAGTCTGACAGGAAGACCCATGAAAATTGGCAAAATGTTCCTGGGCATATTACAACGAATGTGAAGACTACGGCTTCTTTCTGTATGATGTGACTTCTGTTTGGTCTGAAACATTTAGAGTGGAAAAGCTTCTATCACTGGAAGGCAGGAAAAATGTCAGAAGAAAACCGGAAGAAGAAAATGATCTAGGCTGCATGACGCAATGATCCACTGTGGGTTAATTAACCTTCAAGGAGTTGCAGTGTGTGTTAGCCACTATTATGAATATGCAGTCCACAACCTAGGGTTCTTGTGTCATGCAAACCTGGTCAGCAGGGTTATTTGAGGGCTAAAGAACCCACATTTAACCCTACAGCATACCATGAATCAACATATGTTTAAGAGAAAGATCCAAATATTTAAAAGTCATTCCTCTGTCCAGTTACCCATCCACAGCAATCCCATATAAAAATAAGTATGAAGCACAGATTTACAAAACCACATTAAAAGACTTTTTAATTATTCTTCTGCAGCTACAAAGTTCCCTAGGACAGTATGCAAGCCACAACCCACCAACCACACTTTTAAATTTAAAATTAAAAAAAAAATCCTATTCAGCCAATAGGCTTTTGATCCATTTGCTGTTTGAAAGTCAATTTTGTCTTCTGGTATTTGTTTACTTTTCAATGAACTATGTATTGAATGCTTAAAAATGAATACCAGTGAAAATGGCTCATTTACAAAGCCTTACCCTTTTCAAAGCTTGCATCTGCACCTCTGTTCAAAAGGACACGCATGAGTTCCACATTTGCAATACTTGCAGCATACATCAGTGGTGTCCATCCAAACTTAAAAGTAGATTCTACACTTACACCTGTAATATTTTTATATGCAGGATAACATGTTTAATAAAACAAATACAAAAATTGTATCATTCTACTTTAGAATGTTAGAGACCGATTTCAGAGCTAAGCAAAGCTAAAGTGGCGAAACCATTCTAAAAGTTTACAGTTGCCAAAACAAAAATAGCACTGGCAACAGTATACCTGAGGAACTCTGCACTCGGGGGAGCAGATGGCTCCCAGGATCTACTTTTGCCACCTCCCCTAGTAAGGATATTAGAAAAAGGGACCAAGTTTGCTACTGTTGACAGCATATGGTGTTTTGTTATCATTATGAGTGCAATATAATGTACACAAGCATGTGATTTTATTAGTGAATCACTTTGAGAACCATTATGGTTACAAACCAGTGCAAGCAAACATTGTTAATAAACAAAATAAATAGTATAATCATTCAAAGAACACCAGTGTTTCTGTCCCAGTATTTTCCAAACACAGAAAACAATTTAGGAGAAAGCAATCAGGACACGGATTCCCTATTGTAATGAAATCTGCCTGTTTAACTGACAGATCAGGCAGTAGCAAACAAGGAGCTTTCAGGTTTTTCTATCTTAGCTGTCTCATAAGATATATAAAGGAAAGCCAAGGCACTCTGGATTACAGTTTTAAAGCACAGAAAGCCAGTGCCTTGGATTAGTAGAACACAACCTGATGATAGCATGTCCCCTCCTAGGTATGTTCACCATCTGCCACTTTGGACACTGATGTAGTAGAATCCTCATTCTGCAACATGCAGCACTAAATTATCCAATTTCACACTGTAAAGTATGATTATTATTGAAAGTGATCAGATTTTCTGCAAAAAGTATACCAAAATGCTTCCTAGTGCCTAGGAATACTTCAAATACAATACACTTAACACTACTTTCCTTGATGCTTTAGGTATAGGCAGCATACATAAATCGGCCTTCTTGGTAACTATGATCATCAGATTCTAGGCAGGTAAGTGAGCAGACCAGCACAAGAGGGATGCATGGCATCATTCCTCCCAGCCTGCCTAGTTTCCATTGTGCCATAGAAGGGGTGCTCTGCTCTACAACCAGCACAGAACCAGCTCACAGAAAAGAGACAGATCACTACGTCCATCCACCAGTGCACTACACTTCTGCATCAACCACAGAGGAAGGAAAATCCCTCCGTGCAAAGCCAGCAAGTAAAACAAGTGAGCTGGCAGGTGAAGGATGGAGAATGCTGTCTCTTCCACAATACTCTGAATAGTTCAAGGCAATTTTCCCTCTCCTACGGAGGGAACTACTGGTAACTTTTCCGCAATGAAGACCTTCCAGATCACCTAAATATAGAAGTTAAATATAAAACCCTTCAGTTTTTGAACAACCACTATGCAGTTTTCAGCTTCCTTGGAACTTTGCCTTTTTATGTTATTCTTATAAACTAGCTATGCTCCAAATTGTAATAATGCCTTTTGTTTGACTAAGTGGGCTTTGACATCATGTAAAACCAGGAAAAGTCCACAAATAACACTTGGAGTCAGCACTGAGGAGGAGAAAGTTATGTAAATACTTTATCTTCTTTCTCATTTGGGCTAAAGAAGCATTTCTTGAGTTGAGAAGCCACTGCTTACGAGAAAGCTGTTCTTTTTATGGACACAAAGTTCTCAAGTTTAAAAGGTGAAGTAATACTTGGGACAAAGATAAAGTTTCACATAAGAATTATTATCTGAGGAAGGTTTCAACATTCTTGATACTTGGGAAAAAGTATAACAGCATGTGTATATACTGGTGCAAGGGTATGTTGTAGCAACCCACTCAGAATTACCAAGATTGCTTCAGAATTTCAAGCTATGTTCTACAATGCTGTCTTCACACAGAGTTCACCAGAGTGGGAAGGCTGTTCTAAGAATATAAATAACTTTTATGTTCCTAAAGTTATATTATGTATAACTTGCCTTGCCCATAAAATTATATTTTTCTTCAGAAACTTTTGAAAGTAAACTCAGTAAATCTGTAATTGTCAGAAAAAACTATATTTTTAAGATACCAAGTAAGACTATTTTATGACCTTTTAATATATTCTAGAATTCTATTTTATGTCCAACATGAGGAAACATCAGTAAATAGTGCCTGAAACATCTGAATCATTCTAGAAGCTAGAAAAAGCTGGAAGAACTGGATGCAGAGGAATACTGGCAAGCAGCATCTTTTCCCATTTAGAAAAACATTCAGAGCAATCCCTAAGCCTGTCCCTGTACATAGCATGGGTCCTGGGCAAATCTGATCTCAAGGAAGAGCTGCTAAGGTTTCTTGAATGGGGAATGACTTTGCTTATGAATGGTAAGTAACTATATTTATTCCAAGAACATTTAACCAAGCTCTACCTATCAGGGTAGCCCTTTAATTGCTTTTGTAAATAATTTCAAATAATGAATTTCTTTATTTTTTTGTTCCCTTTGAAAGGATGACTCTTGAGATAATGTCAATACTCAAATTTTCCAGGCATTGACATCTCTCTCTACTCAGAGCCTGGATTTTCTGTGGATGATTTTTCTTCCAAAAAAAAAAAAAAGGGGGGGGGACGGGGCTTAATACCATGAGGTATTTTTTTGGTAGTTTAAGATCAGACTCATATTCAAGTCTACTCAAAATTAGTTTGCATTAAGTTCAATGGAGGCTATTTATGGGCAATTACCACAATTCTACATGGGCAGTTCTTCCTCTTCATGAGTTCAATCAAGTATTGTCATCAACTACAATTGAGTCTGTGGTCCACTTCATACATGACAGGTTTTCCTACTGGATGCAGGAAACTGCATTTACCCTGAGCATACATAAGGGCTGGGGAATGTGGAGTTCTCCATTCACCCTGAACAGCACAGCCAATGGTGAGGGACAACGGGAACTCAAGTCCAGCAACTTCTAGAGGGCAACATGTTTCTTATGCCAGACATACACAGTAAAATCAAGGAGTGCATGTGCTTCACCACAAACACAAATGGGTCTGATAGGCAGATGTGTGGCACACAGACACAAATCCCAGAAGAGAGAAGATATTTTGAAGCACTTTCCAAGAGCAGATTATTTTAGGTATGTTACTCAAAACTGATCATGTCTTCTACAGTGCTTGATTAATTCCACTTATAAAAACTAGACCTTCAGATTCTCTGTCCCTCTCAACTGAGAAGCTAGATTTTCATTTAAGGCACAAATTACTATTGTCTTTTCTAAGCAGTATTATTAACATGTCTGGGATAATTAACAGTAAACAGCACCCACATAGGTATATTCAGCAACTGAAGGAGTTATTTTTCTGGTCACAATTTATAAATCCACCAAGTATGCTACATCTACAAGATAAAACTTCCAAGTTCCTGCTTTTTATGACAGACTGTTGTGATGACTAACAGTGCGGTCATAGAATTCTGCAGCAAGAGTCAAAAGAAACTGATACTGGGAAAAAAAAGGCAGACAACTCTATTGCACATCCACAAGAAGTTTAAATGAGTTCTTTGTTTATTCTGTGCCTAGGTGAAGAATTCAGATCAAGCCTATAGCAGAAACTTAACTTAGATTTTTTTTCTAAAATTTAATATATGCATTAGCACCTGTTAGATATTACCTGAATTTAAAAGTTCTTCAACAAGAGACAAGTTTCCAGTAGTCAGTGCTTTCTTCAAAGCGACTTCTTTATCATCTAAATGCAACGCCTCATCCAAATGCTAAATATACAAAAAATGAGCACATAACTTCAACAATTCAGTATGTAATACACAGGCTTACTATATGGAGTGTTTTGCATGTTAGAACAGAAGAGAGCAAATACTAACAATAAAAGATGTTTGCCCTACATTGAGAAGCCCAACTACGAATCTCTTTCTGCAGCTCCTTGGAACAACCCCCGCCCGACCCCCATACTTCTGATACGTGTTCTTTAGTTTCCCAGGTGGTGAATGCTAGGAATGTTCACACTGGGTGACCTTGGCCCAGCCATACATTCGCTCTCTCTCCTGCCAGCCTACCTCACAGGGTTATTATGAAGGCAGAAAGGGGGTGGTGGTGGAAGAGGAAGGAACACGTTTTGTTGCAATAATCTTCTTCGAAAAAATGCAGAATATCCACGCAATAAAAGCAGAAGGGAAATACTCCCAAGTTCTCTCTAGGAAAGAAATCAAACTAATCTTAAAGAAAGAAAAAAAGGCAGGCAGGCAGGCAGGCAGGCAGGCAGATTGCAAGCCCAAGTACCTCAGCTCAGGCCCGACTTACCCGCTTCGCAGGTGACGCTTTGGACACGAAGCCGATATCCCAGCCATCGTCGTCGCTTTCGCTACTCTCGCCCCCTGCGGCCACCGCGGGACACCTGGCCCCGCCAGCCATCATGGACCACTTACTAGGGGAGACAACGTCTCCTCTCCTCTCCCTCTCCTCTCCTCTCTGTCCTCGTCGTTCTCCTCACTTCCACGCACAGCTCCCGCTTCAGACCAGAAGCGCGCATGCGCACACGCAAAACCTCCAACTCACGCTTCCACGCGTTCCCCATCCCAAAGCGCAAGCGCAGAACGATGGGACGCAAACAAGCTATCGGCCGCATTTCCGGGTGTGGAAGCCAAAGCGGGAATCTTGTGGCCACGTGAGAATCTACAGTGTGGGTCACGTGCCACCGGAGACGGTCTTCTCTGGCCGACGGTGCAAGTTGAACTGGCCCTATTGACTCCAAAGCAGCCTGCCTTAACGTGGGAACCTGCCAAATGTTTTGGGATGTAATTCTCAGCATTCTTGGCCGTGGTGGCTGAGGCAGAGAGAAGCAGAAGTCTAAAACATCTGGAGTTAGTACACAGGGGAAGAATGCTCTTAGAAATGCGTTTTTTTGCGGAACCAATCCTATGCACGCTAACTGGACAGCCTGCCGTATTTCCTAATCTCTAGGGCTGAACAACACATGCCCGTGCGCGTTTTTCATGTTCATACTTCTTTTGTGAATATTTGCAAACTTACTCACAAGTAAGTGTGGCTAGAACTGCAGTCTTGCTTGAAAACGTATCCTATTAAGCAATGCAGACTTACATCTAAACGTACATGGGATTGTTTTGTGCCCCAGTGGAAATTAACCATCGTTACCCACAGCCTCATTAATTTAAATGAGTCTTAATTGCAGTGCACTAGATGTTCCCTCAGAAGTGCCCTCTTATGTTCAGTCATGCTTGTTCCTTGGTAAACAGACTTTAGAGTGGAGACTTAATTGTGAGCTGTTGTGAGATTATTATGTTTACATCCTGATAATGCACATTATATTTTATTTTGATGGCAGAGGCAATTGCTGTGTTACAGGAGAATGGGAAATGGTCCTTTTTAAAATGTAGGATGCCTACCATTTTCAAAAGAAGGTGCGAACTTCTATGGGTCAGCACACTCATAATAGTATCATTTTTATACACAACTTGCCTGACTGGAGTGAAAGAATATATCTTAATGCACATGGTCAAAATGCATTGATTGCAGTGGGGGTTTTGCCCAAAATAATTTCAGTCCAGGACACAATATAGCCAAATGGCCCTTTGTATTAATTTTTACATAGTGTGAGAACCAGGATTTTAAGTAATCTGTTTTGACTGATTATTGCCAAGACATTTCTCTTCCAGCTCTAATTTAGGTACTGATCTTGATCTGAACCTTACTAGTCTAGTCACAGCACAGAATGCATAGCTAAAGCTGTGACTTTAATGCCAAATCACATCTTATTTCTAATGTAATTTCTAAACTAGTCCCAATATTGTAAAATTTTCACTTTCAGGCTCTTTGAACTTAGCCTTAAGAAAGAATATGTAGTCTCAAACTTAATATATTTAGACTTTGAATCTAACACTATATTATTTGAAAGAAGTGTGATTAGTTTTCCCTTCATTACGTATTTTTTCTTCTATAATTTTCTCCCATGTTGGCTGGCTCTGATGGGAGTTAGTTCAAAACTCTAGATAGTACCAGGCTGGGAAAGGCTGTGTTAAAGTCACCAAATCCTAGCCCCTGACTGTCTCTCATGTTTCTTAGTCTGGCCTTTCTACTACTTTCACTAGCTCAAATATGTGACATAAACATGATGAATAAAATCATAGCAATATACCCATAAGCAGTAGCTTCCTGTTTTTTGTCTTTTATCTAATTATGACTGTATAGCTGTCTCAGGTTCCTCACAAAGGGATAAAGGAGGCATATATATGCAATCTAATAAAGAACTGCATTGTACGGAGTTGACTAGAATCTCCAGTCCTATCATGCTATGGATGGAAACTGAAACAGGCAAAACATGTGCTCTGAGTTACATCCCCTCCCCATTTAAGTAGAAATGGGTTTGGCTACAGGGTTGCTAAAACTTTAAATTGTTATCCTGGGAAATCCCAAAGTGACTGAAGAAGGTTTAAATTGACTTTGCACCCACAGGTTTCTAATGCCATCAAGTTAAAAGGAAGTGGCTAGTCAGCTGGCCATGAAACTAATGGCAATGAATTCACAGAGGAATGGAAAGATGTTATTGGACAGGGCAGGGCTCCTTCAGAAAAAATGTTTACTGTTCAATCTAATACAGTTCCAACCAATTCCACTTATTGTTTGAATTACTATCACTTGAAAAAAATCCATCATAAATATTTCTAAAGCTGTTCTAAAATGTACTGGTACAGATTCCATTGAAGTGAGAGTTGCATGTTGCTTTGAATGGATTTTGGATTTAGCAATTGTACAACAATTGACATGCCTTAAAAGCCTTGGCAAATGCCCTATGTATTCTTAATGAATTTCATGTCTCTATTGTCTGTTGGCAGTGTTATAACTAAAAAGCTCTGTGTTAAAAAGAATCTAACAGTTTATCCCAGGGTGGAGAATATTTGCAGAGTTGTGGTTTATACAAACCTTAAAGGAGGTATGATTCATTTTTATAAAAAGGATATATAGGTAGGCACAGTAAACAGAAGAATTTGTAAATATACTTAAATGACTGTTACTTGAATTGCAGTAGAACTGATAAATCTGCTTTGCTTATCCTCTCTAGCCACAAAGTAAATACAAAGAAGGGAGAACTCCAGAAAAAAATGTAGATTGTTCTATTCATATTTCTAGCCAACCAGACCTTCTTTCTGGATACTCCATTCTCCTCCCCGCAACCCCTGGTTTTCTCCTTTTTCCCTTGCAACCAAGGCAGGATTGAGGTGTGAGCTAACTTCTTGACTTAAGGACCACACTAGTTCTCTTAAACCAATCTTCAAAATGTTACACATGCAGTGATTCTTACATGGGAGTATTTTATTCCTGCCATGTCTTAGCTATGTGACCCCAGTTTTACAATCCCTATCACTCTTGTCTTTTACCTACAACCATTTGCATATTACATGTGTCACCTGTCATTCCTCCATAGTGTTGTAGGGAAGGGAGTAGCAATCCTCATCACTACATTAGACTAAGGCAACATTACCAGTCTAAGATTTCCCAATGACCTTGAAGGCTGAAAAAGACCTCCACAAGGTCTCATATTCCTGTTCTGGGGGACCATCTGTCAGACCTCATGAGGAGTCAATAATGAGGTGTGCAATATTATGAAATGCACAGCCTTGACAAAAGTACTGAGGGTGTCAGAATAAGAACTGGAGTAAATATATAACATGCAGTGTATCTAATCTTTAAAATGTCAGCTCTCCGTTTGGCTATGGTAATTAGGAAAGGATATATACTAGATGAGGTTAGGTATACAAAATGACTTCATTTGGGTTTTGGCAGAGTGATGTTAGAATTTTCCTTTTATTGGTCTCTTATTCTTCATACTTAGAATCTTCCTACCTTTTTGTGAAACCTGCTGTCTACTTCATTCCACTTCCATTATGCTGTTTGTAATGAAGAGTGATTTGTCATCACTGCAGCTAATTTGGAAGATGCTAGTGGCAATGAGCAGTTCATGTTGCTCCTTTATTAATAACATATACATGTGTGTCTTAAAACAGCAACTACTTTTACAGCCTGTTAGGCCTGAAGCAGGAATTCACCCTGAGGGTACAAATCCTTTCACACCATTTCTGCCAAGGACAGAAAAAATATTTTCTGAGAGTGGCATTGAATGGATTATATTCTCAACTAGTCATTACGATATTTACTTAACCTCAGCATTAATTGTTCTGTAAACACTCTTGGGATTTCTTGCCCTAATGTGCAATTACTTTATACTTGTTTATATTAAACTGCATTTGTCTTTTTGATGTCCATTATTTAGAATCCTCACATTCCTTTTTTGTTCTGTTTTGTTTTAACTACCTTAAACAATTGGTGTCATCATCAAACTTGGTCACTTCACTGCCCATGCCTAATTCCATTTGATTTATGCATAAATTAAAAAGTAATGGTCCAAACACATATTCCTCTAGAATTCTACTCTTTATATCCCACCATTGTGAGAATTTGCAATTTATTCATATTGTCTGCTTTCTGTTCAGTTTCTGTTCAGTTACTGATTCATAAGAGGACATCCCCCTATTTACTTTCTATTTTGAGATTTGTCCAAGAATATTTAGTAAGTCACTTTCAAAAGATTTTTGAAAGTCCAGGTAAACAATTTCTGTTGGATCACTTCTGTCCCCATGTTTATTGACAATCTCAAAAAACTCTAAAAGTTTAGTGAGACAGGGTTAATTTTGTAGAAGTCAAGTTCTCTCTCTCTCTCTCTCTTGGAATGCTAACCAATTTCATCTTTAACAGGGCTTTTAACCAATTTACCTGGAATAGACATTAATTCACCCAACCTATAATTTCCCAGATCCCGCTGGACCCCTTAAAAAAAAAAGTTGTTTAATTGGTAATTCTCCAGTCTTCTCCTACAAATGCTTACTTAGCAACACATTACATATTTTTGTAAGATTCCTTTGTCTTAAAAACTAGCAAAACGGAACTCAGACCTTCCAAACCACATCCCCTCCCAAATCACCTACCTTTGTCTATTATCCTCTCCACTGATCCTTTCATTATTGCCTTCTCCCCTGAGCAGAAAATCTCCAGTCTATAGAAGTGCCAATCTATATAGTAATCTCAGGAGAGAGTCTATCCTTCAATGCAGTCTGCAAATAAACACATTTTCTTACTGCTGGATATTCTGCTTTCTTCAGCTGTGCGGGTCAACAACAAAAGGCCTGCATGTGCCTTGTTAAGTCAGAAGAGATATGGTCTTGGAATTTTGCCCTCTTGGTTTCAATAATATTATTGTTCTAGGATTACTAAATGACAATATGTGATAGAAGAAATTAAATAAAACTGGCTTTAAAAATATAAAGCTTATGAGCTCATCAGAGCAAGGTTCTCAGGCTTTCAGTTCCTCCTACCTTTACTTTGGCTGTCAAAGAGAATTGGAAGTTCCAC